AGAAGGAGGAGGTGGTGGTGGAGGTGGAACACAAGGGGATGAAGGAAACGAAACAAAAGAAGGAGGTGGAGGTGGCGGTGGCGGTGGCGGAGGTGGAAGTAGTCCACGAGGAGGAGGGGCTGGAGGAAGTGCACCAAAAGAAGGAGGTGGCGGTGGTGGAGGAGGGGGAAGAGCTGATGGGGTCCTAGAGTGTTGCGAAGGAAACGAAGAAACTCCATAAATGGAAGGTGGAGGAGGAGCAGGTGGTCCACCACGCGAGGGAGGTGGAGGTGGAGGTGGGGGAGGAGGAGGCTGTGAAGGGCTAGGCCAATGAAAAAAATAATCCCAAGGCATTGAAGGTGGAGGTGGTGGCGGTGGTGGAGGTGGAGAGGGTTTTCCCATGATGGGAGAAGGTAAAGAAGATGCATGAGTAAGGGGTGGAGGTGGAGGTGGTGGTGGCGGCGGCGGTGTAGCCGAAGGTGGTGAATCTTTGCCATCGGCTAATGCTGCTGGAGCACTGTTATATCTCGTCGGAGGATAGTAAACATGCATCGAATTAGAGTAAGAACCTTTGTTAGTAGGTATCCACTTAGATGAAGCATTTGGCTTTGCTAGTCTTGCTACAGGAGGCTGTAACTCTTGCTGCTTCGATTTTGAACTGGAATTTAGCTGCTTTTTCGAGACAGTTTTACTTACTTCTTCTTCTTCTGCTGTGATAACAGATGAAACAGAATTTGCATCTGAAAAGAGCGCCTGATACACCCAAAAAAACAAAATACTTTTTAAAGAGCTGAAAGTTTCACAAAAACTAAGAAACATAGCACAGGGAACACAAAATCTTACCTCTGCTTTGAAATCCCTCGAAAATTGGTCTTCGGCATCCCAAAGAATATCAACTTCATCGCGGTTCAGCACCAACACATTTGAACGGACAAAAGCCGTATGAAACATAACTCTAAAAACCGTCTCTTCCCTCAGAAAATCGTCCTCCAAATGGATGCACTCAAGAACAATATCTCCTTGAACACGGCAATGTATATCAATTTTCACTAGTTCGCACTCTTCCTGCATACACCACAGATCAATAACAACACCATAAAATTGTTTTCATATGAAATTTCAAAAGATTTGTTGTAGCATTACCTGTTGATAGAAACGGATACGCTTTTTCACTTTCGAAGTCGAAAACAATAGCTTACAACTTCTACTATTTGTTTTCGAAGAAGGATCCTGACCATACACACGAACAACTGGCCGACATCCTCTTCCACCGTCATATAAAGGAAGATTCCTAACTATAATAGAGTCCAAAGCCAAAGGTGTATCCGACGGTGGCCAATCCGAACCAAAGTCGTTTCTTCTAGCAATGTACTGAAGATATCTGAGCTGAGATGGCTGAGGATTCAAAGGAGATAGAATATGAAGAAGCTCCCTTGATGCCTGCTTGTATACCATTTCAAGAGTCTTTTGTTCACCGTTGTACTGTTTCAGGTACAGAAGAAGTCCAGCGAGCATAAACGCAAGCACGGGCCAACCGCCCCTTTCGCAGTGCATTAAGAGCACGTTTTGTTGTCCTTCGAGCGATAACCAGCTCTCACTCGATCGTAAAAAGTGGTGGATCATTTCTATAGGTAACAGTGGGCACCCTTCGTACTGACGAGGGTAATCCATTACCGTCATGTCGTACTGAGATAAGGCGTCGGATAATTGGCTCCTCCTTTCTCCTTCTTTGAAATTGAAAACCATAAAAGCAGCTTCCGGGTAGTGTTCTTGTAGCTGTGCGACAATCCCGTTCATATATGTTCGATACTCGTTCTCGTCGAGTACATCGGTGGAGAAGCAGCAATCAAACACTACATATAGAAGCAGAAATCAAATTAAATCAAATGACATCAACAAATCTGAAAATTACATATTTTGAACAATATGAAATTTAAAAAAAAAAAAAAAAACTAAACTATCAATGCAGAAATAAAACCTTGTTAATCTTATTAAATTTTACTTGGAGCGTAAACAAAGAAAAATATTGGGAGCATTCAGAAAATGGGTATTTACTATATGGCAAACCCAAGGAATTTGGATGGCATTCTAATATTTATCGCAACTAGCGATGTTAGAAAAATGACTTTTTACTACGACCAGTAGCCAAAAGATACCAAATTTGTAATAAAAAGGTTTTTGCTACGAATTTGGCTCGCCACAGATACGGGCGTGACAAAAACCCCGCTACGGTAAACGGCCGTAGCAAATACTTTTTTTCCTACGGCAAATCCTAAAAAAAAATTGTAATAAATTGATAATCCAACACATACACTACTTTTTGCAACTCATGGCTCCATAATTTCACGTTCATTTATAAATCGGCGAAACAATTGCTAATTGAACAAGAACAGTGTAGCTGAAAAAAGGCATACAGTAGACTCTCTCAGAGATCTCGAGCAGCCGATCCGGCGGCAGCCGATAGATGAATCTTCTAAACAGCGCCATCTAATGGCGATGTTTTCTCTCGTGATCGGACCCCCTCTCGACAATTCAACGTAACCTTCCAAAACTTCACCTGAATTTTGAAATAGTCAACAATGCAACCGTAAAAGTCAACAAGGCCAGATCAAAACACCGGGAGTAATCCGACAGTATATTATCGCAGCCCGACTTACGAGTTTTTAGGGTTTACAAAATGAGCAATGACTATGAGAAGAGAAATGATAATCGGTTCTAGAGAGAGAGAGAGAGAGAGAGAGAGAGAGGATTAATGGTGAGTATAAAAGCTGACTTTGGAGCTAAATTGTAAAAAAAAAAAATGTTTCTGCAGCAATCAGTTGAACTTGTCCATAGATTTTCTTATTACATATATTTAATATTTCTAGATAAATGGATTCTTCGGAATTAACTTCAGTATATACATGTTAGAGAAAATATTGGCCTCCGCAATTTTCTGCAAAACATAGAGAAACAATATTAATATGTTTCAGCACGCAATAACTAATCAAACTGAATTAAACATGATCAAAGTATTATTAATTAAATAAAATTGTTTTTTTATTTATTAATCTATTATCATGTCTAACAACAAGTGCAGTTAGAGAAAATGGCCTCCACGATTCACTGACGCTACTTTTCTTGGGGGATTCGACAAAACTCTCAATTACACAAGTGCCATTGAAATGAGCTCAATTTTATTTTATATTTTTTAAATAAATCCAAAATAATATTTATTAATTAAAAATACTTAATTATCACCATTATATCCCTAACTAATAAATAATGTATATTTAATTTTGATACTACTTTGGCTCGATATTGATCACCTTACCCCTTTCTATTCTTAATTGAATCGATTTGCCTCCTTGTACTTTGGCTCGATATCACTTTAGCTCATTCTACTCTCATTTGCATCGATTTGCCCATGTACTTGAAAAATTGTCTCAATGTGGCCCTCGCCTTTAATTTTCAAACCTTTGACCATAACACCCTTTGATCCAAGTCTGAAAATTACTAAAAAGTCACCCCTCCCAATTTAAATAATTATTAAAAATATTAAAACTAAAAAATAAAAAAATAAAAAAACAAAAAATAAAATAATAAAAAATTCAAGACAACGAGAAAACATAGTCCATGACGCCAGCCACAATTTTTTTTTATTTTTTATAATTATTTAAACTGGGAGGTGGCTTTTTTGTAATTTTCAAACTTAGATCAAACGTAACGGAGTTAAGGTCAAATGGGTTAAAACTAACGGCGAGGGCCACATTAAGACAATTTTTCAAGTACAAGAGGGTAAAGTGATATCGAGCCAAAGAACTAGGGGGTAAATTGATGCAATTGAGAATAGAAGGGGTTAAAGTAATATCGAGCCAAAGTATAAGGGGGCAAATCGATGCAATTGAGAGTAGAAGGGGGTAAAGTGATATCGAGCCAAAGTACGGGGAAAAAGTGGAATTTACCCTAAAACAAAGATATATAATATATTTTCCATATATATCTTAAATAAGACGTTTTTTACTAATCCCACGATTCCCGTTTATTGATTGCAGAATTCTAATCCTCATAATTTTAATACGCATATCTCTCCCATGATTTTCCGTAAGATTCTGCCAACAACAACAATGGCTGCTACTACTAGGCTGTTAAGAATGTCTAAACCATTACGCATTGGCCTTTCCAATGAAGTTGTTTCATAAATGGTTTCTAGACCTAGGACATTAGTGTGTCTGAACAAAGTAGGGCTGAGTTTCGAGAATCCACCGGCCGGTGGCGGCCGTGGAGAGAGGAAACAGGTGGCGGCAAAGGTGGTCGGACGTTCTTCATCAGCTTGTCTTCATCACTTTGAAGAGTTATCAACCCCAAAAAGTATCAGTCTTCAATGGATTATCCAAGCCCAACACCGCAATTAGGAATTATTCGAGAGAATTGTAGATGTATGAACATGTTTGTTTTGCTTCAACGTTAAGTTGTTTATCCGAGCAAGAAAGCGAATTTGTAATTAATAAGAGGAGTTTTCATGTTTACATAACTGTTATACAGATTGGTTTCATGCTTACATAGCTGTTATACAGAGTGGTTTTCATATAGTTGTTCATATAGGATGGTTTTCATGTTTATATAGTTGTTTATACAGAGTGGTTTTCATGTTTATTATATAGCTGTTTATACATAGTGTTTTCAATATGTTTATATAGTTGTTTATACAGAGTAGTTTTCATGTTTATGTAGCTCTTTATAGAGAGTGGTTTTCATTTGTCTTCAATTTTCTCTTCTTGGAATAATTTGGGAATGGCGAGAAGCACATGCAGAATAAATGAAGAACAATCATGTAAATTACTTGCAATTTTCAACTAATCGGCTTAAATCAACAAACACATGATACTAATTAATTATTTTTCGCCGCTGAATTTTGAACCATTTTGCGTGCTAAAAAAATAAAAATAAAAAGGTGTTTTAAGTCTCTAATCCGTTTTTTCCTCTTAAAACAACAATCTCCATTGTTGGGTGGGCTTGGTGTAAACTATGCATAAACGATAAACGACAATTTTTGTTTGTATTTGAAAATATTGATTCGAATTTGAGATTGTCCTGGCATAAAAAAATTGTTTGCGAATGATACTTTTTCTTTCTTTATATTTTGTTCACTTAGAATCTCAAATATTAATATTTAATTGCCTCTGTTTCATATTTAGTTGGATTGATAGGGTAAATTTACTTTTTTTTTTGTTTCATACCTTTATATGTGGTGAAAAGATAAAATGGAAAATAAATTAAAACAACTCAAATCTCAGTGAATTATGTGGTTTATTTCTTCTTAAATTATCATCTACTTCTCCCAAATTTAACAGATTATTGAATGTTTTAACTTGTCTAATTTTTTATGATATTGGTCATTTTTTTGTTATTATTTTCCTTGTTAATTAATTAAGTCCATATTTCGGATGTAGATGAACATGAGTTCATTTAAAGATGACCGCATTTGGATGTATAATAGACTTGAACACTTTATGTTTTTCCTTTTATTTGTTTGTATGTTTGTTTTTTTCAGGAAACTGCCACGGGGAGGAGGTGTTAGACGAGCGAGCCGTGAGAGTTCATCACAGGCACAACCACAAGCACCTCTATCAGAGCAAGGGGAAGTGGGAGATTCACAATCAAGTGTTGCATCACAACAAAGAATCTCGAGCAACCGAATATTGCTGAAAGTGGATAGGGACGAGTAAATTTATTTAAATATTTAAAACATATATTATTGTGCAAGAATATTGATTATGGTTTATTGAATAGTTTTAATCCTTTGAATGCTTCGAGAAATTTGGTTACAATATTCAAGAAATCATTCAGCGGTGTGTGGCCTACATGGAGCAGTGTCCCAAATCATATCAGATATCGTTGGTTTGGAGAATTTCAGGTATGATATTTTGAATTACTAAGAATTATTTATTTATTAATTAATTAATTAATTTATTTATGATAGATTAATGCAATTTCCTGTTTGTTTCTTCTATGCATAGTATAATTAATTTATTTGCCCTCTTTTGTTTACCTTTTCCCAATACATAAACTGGTAGAAACTTAGAGTCTTGACATTTTGTTATTGAAATGTAAACTGAAGTTTTAAGCTAGGATAAATATTGAAAATGGTTTCAGAAAAATGTTTGCAACTTTACTAATCTGGCCTCTCGTTATTATTAAGTGAGGAGGTTGAAGATGGATGGATTAACTTGCTTTCTCATTTTATTCGTTTTATAAGTGCTCTTATTGTATTCTGAGTCAGTCTAGACAAGTGTGTACGTAGCATTCTAGAGTATGTTCATATTAAATGCAATTATCTTGATATTTTTGCTACCTAATTATTTAGCTCATTTTTTTTTTTAATTTGTATGGTTTGCTAAAGTGTTATTTTTATTGGATATTTATAGGAGACGTATAATTGGGCAGTTGATGATCATTTGACAGTAAGAATACATTTCGAACGCAAATGAAGTACCAGCTTGAGCAATTCTTTGTACAAAACTAAAAAGCAATATAATGAGACAAATAATACCCAACTGGATCAATCTGAATCATTGGTAGGAATTGATGGCCTATTGCAATGCTGAAAAATTTATTAATAAATCTGAAATTAATTTCAATAACAGAAAATCAAGTATAAATGATCAAGGCACATCTTTGTACACAGGAGAATCAAATGCTATTTCAGAATGTAAAAGAAGATACGTAAGTATTAATTTTGTACTTTATTCTTCATAATTGAATTATTTAATCTTCAATTAACCATTTGCTCGTTTCTTTAGGTTAAAGAGAAAGGAAGAGAGACTACTGCCACATAGTTAATTTTTTATGACTCATAAGACAAAAGGAAATAATGATTGGGTTGATCGTAAATCAAAGTTTGTATGGGTATGATTCTAATTTTATATTTTATTTCAATCACAATCTTTAATAGCTTCTGTTAAAACCTGTGTTACATTTAGAAGGACCGGTGTTTAATATTCTTCTTCAGTTGCTTTAGGCCATTTATCGTATATAATGTGCTGATAATGCAATAATGACTAGCTTGAATATGCTCCTTTCAGGCATTGTTTTTTAGTGATATATATATATATATATATATATATATATATATATATATATATATATATATATATATATATATATGATTCTTCTAACTCAAATAAATCTGATGTTGCTAATTTTCTATTACTCTATATTTTTTGGATTAATTTATCATCAATTTTATCGTATCAGGATATATTTTCGACAATCATCAATCAAAGGCGTTAAGATAACAATACCGATGGAGAAGGAAATGAGGATACAACAATAAACGGCGACGAGAAAGAAGAAGATGCTAATGGAGCTAGATGAGGCCTTCTACCTAAAGAAGTTGTTAATAATGCTTGGCTCGAGGCAACTGGAGGACCAATTAAATGAAGAGTTTACGGTTTCGGATCAGAGTCTGCTAATGTTATACATAATGGTAACTTTATTTCTAATGA